TACCAGAAAACCAATGCATTAACATCGTAAACTGCGTAAGTGATAGATAACTTGTTAAAAGCAATAACATAAATGAAGTGAATCAACCCAAGACTAAATATAGCACTCATAATTGCTCATATGGATAAAAAAATACTGCATATCCAGTCGTTACGGCACATACGTGGCTGGTTGCTAGGACGAAAAAGCAGAATATGTGAAATAACTCCACTCTTCTATGTTTATGGATTCCAGAAGACCTTAACATTGAAGGTTTGTTACAAGTTTATGGTCATACCTCTGATAAAGGACAGTATTTTGATAGATTTGGGATTACATTCAATAAATTTCATTCCGGTTAGGGAATTGACTTAGTTTCGCCCACCCCAAAATATGGAAATTTTTGTACGTCGATTTAACTTGGGTATTTCCCTAAGCTTTTCTATATCGTTTGTATTAAGATCTGAGTATGACCTCGTTTGAGAGTTTAAAGTGCTAGGTAAATCGTTAACAAATAATAAGTGAAGGAGTAGTTCAAAGATTAGGCCTTTTGTCTTTGATGAGTAACCACATAGAGTTAACTCTGAGCACCTTTTGAATAATAATAATAAAGGAATTTCATCATAAACACACTACTGCCCTTCAGAACCGATTTCTAGGAAAAAATTCAATAATCTACCTTATCAAACGACTCGAATAGATCTTGGGATACTAAATGAGCAGTATATTCATAGGTCAACGAAAGAATTTCGATATGTTAGACAGCCCATGGATTTGTGTTATGTGGTTTACCTTAGAGAGAAAACCAGTTTGCGAATGAGAAACAAGTTACTTAGCAGATAGTTGCAGAAGTGTTCATTTATGACTGTTTACATGACAAAAATATCCTCCTGGAGCCCTTCTGAGGCTACTGCCGGTCCCAAGCCCGGGAAAAGAATCAGGGTTGGATGTAGGGTTAGTATGATAATTAGAAGTATTCGAATTATAGTTTGAACTAAGAATTCTAGAAATAACGTAATCGGATCAAGAAGTACTAGATAATAACAAACGAATGTACTGTATTTATAATTCGAAATCAAGCATTCAACAAGTACAAAGGAATAATTAGTTCATTCAAACGCCAAAGTTAGCGTCCCCATCCCGTAGAAAACTAACTCGCTAAATAACGCTAACCAGAAAAAATTATTCAAACCTTTCAAACTCTGCCCTGGGAGTCAGAAGATCTTCATTTAGAAGAATTATGACGCCTCATGATGAAAGCCGGATTCCTTCGGAAGTTACGAAGCCGATGCCCCTTCTGACAACCAGAGCGACCATTTATTTAGGTACATGGAATGTTCGTACAATGTGGGACACTGGAAGAGCCTTCCAAATTGCTGCAGAAATGAGAAGATACAACCTGGAGGTGCTTGGGATCAGTGAAACACATTGGACGCAAGTTGGACAACAACGACTAACTTCAGGAGAGCTTCTGTTATACTCCGGCCATGAAGAAGAAAATGCTCCACGTACACAAAGAGTTGCATTGATGCTGTCCAAACAAGCACAAAATGAACTTATAGCGAGGGAATCTCATGAACCAAGGATCATCTAAGCCTCCTTCAAAACAAAGAAATAGGGCATTAAAACGAACGTCATCCAATGTTATGCTCCTACCAACGACTAAAATGAAGACGCTGAAGATCAATTCTACAATAGGCTGCAGTCAATCATCGAGAAGTGCCCAACAAAGGACCTGGCCATCCTGATACTGACAAACTCAAACAACAATAGATTCCAGCCTTTCAAGATATACTCAGTGGAGAGGAAACTACTATGGAGCACACCTTGAAAGGGATAAAAGAGACAATAACTTCAACATATCATGACGTTCTGGGTCACAAGAAGCACCACCACAAGGAATGGATCACTGTTGATACACTGGATAAGATTCAAGAAAGGAGGAACAAGAAGGCAGCAATCAATACCAGCCTAACAAGAGCAGAAAAAGCCAAGGCACAAGCTGAATACACAGAAGTAAACAAACAAGTGAAGCGGAGCATCAGAACCGACAAACGTAAATATGTGGAAGATTTAGCAACGACGGCGGAAAAGGCTGCAAGAGAAGGAAACATGAGACAACTGTATGACACGACAAAGAAACTCTCTGGAAATCGCCGCAAACCAGAACGATCAGTGAAAAGCAAGGAAGGCGAGGTAATCACCAACATTGAAGAGCAACAAAACAGGTGGGTAGAACATTTCAAAGAACTCTCGAATCGACCAGATCCACTGAACCCACCCAACATCGAAGCAGCACCCACGGACCTCCCAATCGATGTTGGCCCACCAACAGTTGAAGAGATAAGCGTAGCCATCAGACAAATCAAGAGTGGCAAAGCAGCAGGACCAGACAACATTCCAGCAGAGGCACTAAAAGCAGACGTAGCGGTAACTGCAAGGATACTCCACATTCTCTTCAATAAGATTTGGGATGAGGAACAAGTACCAACAGACTGGAAAGAAGGACTTCTGATCAAAATACCGAAGAAAGGCGATCTCAGCAAGTGTGACAACTACAGGGGCATCACTCTTCTCTCAATACCAGGAAAAGTCTTCAACAGGGTATTGTTAAACAGGATGAAGGACTGCGTAGACGCCCAACTTCGTGACCAACAGGCAGGATTCCGTAAGGATAGATCGTGTACAGACCAAATCACAACTCCACGGATCATTGTGGAACAATCAATTGAATGGAATTCATCACTCTACATCAACTTCATTGACTACGAAAAAGCATGTGATAGCGTGGACAGGACAACACTATGGAAGCATCTTCGATACTACGGCTTGCCTTAGAAGATAGTCAATATCATACAGAATTCATATGATGGATTACACTGCAAAATCGTGCATGGAGGACAGTTGACAAAGTCGTTCGAAATAAAGACCGGTATCAGGCAAGGTTGCTTACTCTCATCCTTTCTCTTTCTCCTGATGATCGACTGGATCATCAAGACATCAACATGTGAAGGGAAACACAAGATAAAATGGACATCTAGGATGCAGTTGGACAATCTAGACTTCGCAAATGATCTGGCCCTTCTATCCCAAACGTAACGACAAATGCAGGAGAAGACGGACAGTGTAGCAGCAGCCTCAGCAGCAGTAGGTCTCAATATACACAAAGGGAAAAGCAGGATTCTCCGATACAACACAGAATGCACCAATCCAATCACAATTGACGGGGAGGCTTTGGAAGATTTAAAAACCTTTACGTATTTGTGCAGCATCATTGATGAACAGAGTGGATCTGATGTAGATGTGAAGGCGCGGATCGGCAAAGCAAGAGCAGCATATTTACAACTGAGGAACATCTGGAAATCAAAGCAACTGTCAACCAACACCAAGGTCAGAATTTTCAATACAAATTTCAAGACATTATTTAAGGACAGGTAAGCAAAGGAAGAACAACAGAACGTTGTGTGTGCGATTCACTGTCATGACCGTAATGCTACCTATGTTGGAGATACATCCAGGCAATTGAATGTAATATTGAACGAAAACAATCAGTGTTTGAAAGATGTTCCAAAATCCTCGGTAGATTTAAAGAAACTTGAAGATAAGTCAGTAATAGCGTTACATGCGTTAGAAACAGGACACAAGATTAATTTTGAAGGAACCAAAATACTTCAGAAAGGTTTTAACACACATAAAGAAAGATTGACTGCAGCAGCGCTGCAGACTGAACCGAAAAGATGGTATTCAAATGGCAACTACCTGGTAAATTTCGTTTGACAAGTAAATTTGGAACCTATCTCTTGTTTAAACCCGTTTTCTATATCAAATGCATCGTTATTATTTTTGAATGAATTCAATGAGTTTCTAAACAATACAGTTTGTGTTTTGACATGTACGTCGATGATTCATTATCAATTTTTCATCCTTGAACTTTATTTATTCCTTCATATTAATCTCACACACATACCTACATACCTACACACTCACGCACATACGATTTGTTACTCAGTTAATTATTTCCATGTAGTTGAATTCTTCACATGATTTGTAGTTAACTGACTCATTTTATCCTATTTTACAAAAAAATCAACATCCAAATGTGACTGGTTTAACACAGTTTAATTCTGATTGTTAAAAAGCTATATATTTCTTTGATGATTTTGATGTCGATTATTACCCTGAAGAAGTTCAGCCAAGTTAGCCTGACGAAACGTTGGAATTAATTAAATTTCAATCACTGAGAATACTTCAAATATAATTTTCACATATAATGAAATGTCAAGACAGTTCTACTGTATGTAGCGGAAACCTGGAGAATTACGAAAACCATCATCCAGAAAATACAGGTGTTTATTAACACTTATCTAAGTAAAATATTTCGGATCCGTTAGTCGGACACTATTAGCAACAACCTAATATGTGAGAGAACAAACCAGATCTCAGTGGAGGAAGAAATCAGGAAGAAGCGCTGGAAGTGGGTAGGCCACATTGAGGAAAGCACTCAACTGAGTCACAAGGCAATCCCTCACATATTATCCTCAAGACCAAAGGAAAAGAGGAAGACCAAAGAGCAGATTGCGTCAAGAAATGGAGACACATATGAGGAAAATGAAAAAAATTGGATAGAACTGAAAAACAAGGCCCAGAACAGAGTAGGTTGGAGAGTGCTGGTCGGCGTCCTATGCTCAATCGGCAGTGAAAGGCCTAAGTAAGTAAATAACATGACGAAAACCTCAGAGTAAAAAAATAGATATGTGTTTTGAATCTTTCAGCTTTGCTTCCACTTTCTATGCAATTCTGCCCACTCTTTTTGTGTCAGAAAGTGGTTAAGTTTAGGCAACAGAACAGCTGAAGATAGAAGCAACGGTTCGTTTGAAAAATTGATTAAGAGCGGACTAACTCATAATGCATTAGGTAACCAAACACTTGTAAAAGCGATTAAAATGTGATTTCATAGTAACCTGTTTATCACGAAACGTGATTTGTTTTAGCTTATCAAAAGCGACTCTATTGTAACCTTCGCGTTTATTTGTGTGTTGCTTTTTGGTAGGTTGTGGATCACTGTATTCTGATATTTTCATGGCTTGTGATAAAAAGCATCTTATTTTCATACTTTGTTAAATATTATATCAAATACAGCGTGTTTCTGTTATAACTGTGTGCTAATATTGTGTGGTCTTACTACAGTTTTTGTTGTATATCTGCATACTTCCATACCTATCTGTGCAGGAAACATACTTTTACACGGTAAAAATCCAAGTACTTCACAAATTCATACGAAATAATGGAGAAACGTTTAGGCTTGTTCGATGATTTTTTATTACTAGTTTTCTAGTATAGTTTGAGAAGTGTATTATCTAGTACGTGTTTATAAAATGTTTATATTGATTGTCAAGACTTTTGTGTGAGTTAAATTTGTTAGCGGTATAGCATTAGATATCGGGATTTCGTTATATCTGTTTTTTCTGAAAAGAAAACGGCGAGACTATAGTTTACGGAAGAATCAATCAGATTCAAGAGCTGGTCTTGAATTTTGGTGCATAATAATTCGTTTATTTTGTTAAATTAAGTTATGTCATTATAGTTTATATCATTTTATGAGGAAAACCTTAAATATAGTTTCTAACCCTAACTATCAACTGTAAATGTTAATCTCAATTCCTCACACTGGTTTATAACCCTGATTTGACCGTAGTGAACATTCTCAAGGTCTTTTTAGCGTCGTTTAAAGGTCATCCATAAATTATTGTCTCACCGAGAAAACTGAGAAAGGCCCAGCTGAATTTTGTAAATTATATTTTAGCTCAATTTATAATTGCTCAACTATCTCGTTACCATCGATACATTTTGGTGGAAGTCTTTATTATTGGCAGTCCGAGAGTGAGAAACATGTCACTGATTTCAGATTGAAAGATCCATTCACCACTATTTTTATCTCAGGCCTTCAATCAAGTATCTCTTTAAGGCAGCATCAAAGTTTCACTTCAGGAGATTCTGTGTTTACAAATATTATCTACCACTTTCGTACGCACGAATTGATTGAAATCATTTTTAGGTGGAAATGCTTAATTTAATTCATATATTTTGGTCCGTATCTTTACAGTATTTTGTTTCTTTTCTTGCTTATCTACTCATTTCAGTTCAATCAAGCGCACTTACAAATTCACCTTAGTTCTTATAGTACTTGACATTTGTATTTTCGAAAATTCGTTTATTCCTATTCGTAAAAGCATCTGATTTTTTTTTCTAGATTCATCAGAGATAAAAACTAGTGTTATTCAGATTACTAGATTTGTGTTCGAAGTGATTTTCACTTGGAACATTGGTCAGAGGACCTATAATCTCTACACATGACATAAAGCACTAGGCGAATATTCCTTGTGGGTATATTAGTTTCCAAGTTAAAATGTCACCAGATTTGCACCATTTTTACAAGGCAGAAAAGCATACTTTTTCTCCTTTAAACTGGTTTTTGAATTGCTATAACATTTTTACCTTGAATTTAGTATTCTAGAACACAATTTATTGTAATCTACTTTCTGTCTCCAAATTTAACAGAAATTTTCTTTACGCTTTTTATGAAGTAAATTGAATAGAAAAATTCGCCATTTAGACGTTTCTTCAAGTCGGCTTATTCTCCAAAAGATAATCGGGACTTAAAACTTATTGTCGATATTATAAAAGTGAGACTTCTCCTTCAAGGCATTATTCATATTGCACGCTAAGACCTTTGTTTACTGCAGGCAAAACGCATAAGAAATAAGAAAAGTTTCTTTGGTGGAATCGTCATCCCTTGATAAGTGCTAAAATGCTCAAAAACAGTTTATTTATAACCTACTTCCAAGTAACAGTTAACTTGGTACATATTGGTGTTTAGTAACCCAGTCTATTTATTATATTCCAAACTTGATGGACAAATTTAGTCACTACTGTGGACTGTCCATAGTAGCATTGTTGATTCAGCGTCAAATAATTCATATATTTGCATCTTTAGAGAGAATACAGAATCACTGAGAAAAATGTCTTTTATTTTATTCAGAATTTCAAGACTTCTTCAGCATTCTTGGAATATCATTGTAGATTGAATTTTTAAATTCCTTAGATCACATCTTGTTGTTTTCCTTCCAAAAGGTTTACAACAAGATGATAGCAGAAACTAGCTTAGCAGTCACGAAAAAGTATACAAAGGAAACCCAAACTGATTTGTTACTTAGCGTATTGTGTGCTGTTTGATAAGATGCTTCAAAAGTTTTATACATTTTACAAACATCTGTTTAAATGACCTTTTGTAAATAAGAAGGAGAATTCAATGCTTAAAATTTTTGCAAATTAAGGACAGGAAGAACATGAGTTACATTTAACCAAAATTGCTTTAAACTGCTTTTTCATGTTTATATTTATTTTAAGTACCTTTTTGTATTACAAAATGTTGGTAAACACTTCATAAACGCAAATAAGCTATTTCTATTTCCGTTCTTCTAATACATCTGTACTACCTTGAACCGAAGTATAATGTTAGTTAAATAGCACTTAATAAAGATAACAAGGCAAGCAGTGACTACGAATTTTCTTTAAAGGAGTTTCAAAACAAAAATTTAAACTACGCTATAGAAATAGAGCTCAAAAATAGGGAAATCCAAAATCAGTTTTTTCAAGAAGATAAATGGTATTATATTTAAAAAATTAGGTTTTCTTAGAGCTAGCAAGTATTCTTAGTTCTGTGTGTGAAACGGGAATTCAGAAATTTAGAGGTCTAACATTTTAAAACTTGGTCGGTAGTCTGAACATTCCTCTCACACTTAAAGTCAGTATTCTATATAATAAATGTCACCACAATATGGTTTGTGAAAAAATATGTAGTTACTTAGCTACACTTTTGTCCTATTATTTGTCCCAAAATTCGTGAGATCAGGTATCCTCCAAAATAGAAGACAGTCAGTTTGTTCGAAATTTTAATTTCTTTTATTAGGACCATTTTACCTTTTTAAAAAATTGGTTCATTTTGCTTTCTCAAATTATCATGTGATAAACCGAGGTAATTTACTATAAAACGCCAGATCCTTGAATTATTTCTCAGGCTAGTGTAATTTTAATTATTTGTACATTTTGCTATTTACTTGATACATATATTATTGACATTAAAAGGAAAATTTTATGTAGAGATGTGTTTGGTTCCAAGCGAACCTAAACTTGTAATATGTGGTTTTATTCCGTGGCCATTACCAGCCTATAATGGAATTCAGTATAATAGATCAACCTTTTATTCGCACATTCAGCTACAAGTTTGATACTCTTCTAACTGTTGTGAAAGATATATCGCTACACTACATATATAATAAAAATTCCCAAAATATACATAACATTCACCGAGTTTATCACTTTTAAAACAATTAGTCCCTTTGATAAATTTCGATAATGTAATGAGTTTATCACTATTGTATCAATTTATGAATAAATTATAAGATCATCCCTAGATAGTAATAGAAATGTAAGAGTTCTGCCTTTCCAATATACTTTATCACAAAATCATCTCGTATATGATTTTTATTTTGCAACTTATTTGATTCATTACGATGTGCGTGTATATAGATGATCTAATTCACTGAGTTGATAACGAAGTTATTAGCCATAATGTTCCAGAAAGTTAAGGAAAATTTAGGTAATCGTAAGTGCATATTTATTGTTTTTTTCCCACCCTTTTTCGTTATCTAGTGCTATAAAAATGCAAATTATCATGAAAATTTGCATAATGAAATAAATATGAATGTAATAAGTGGCGTTTGATGGAACAATCATATATTTATGAATATCTATTCTGTATTTAATATTTTTGTAAGAAAATTAAATTTGTTAGAAATACTTCAATCAAACTACAAAATATTAAAGACTGTACAACTTAAGTAAATGTCATAAATCATACCATTATTGCCGTAGTACAAAGTGGTGTTGATTAAATAAGCCAACGATCATTCTGTTTATTTGATTCATTTCAAGAAAGAAAAATCAGTCACCTCCCGAAATGTATGCTCTTATTTTTTTTGTGTGTCCAAGTGAATGAGTGTTTGATGACTGAGTAAATCAAAAAATTGGTCAATGTTCATAAATTTCTAGTGAACATTTATGAGAAACTAGACCGCAAATTGATTTGATCAAGTAACATAAGTGACTAACAAAAAGATGAGCATAGCTAACATTTATCTAACATTTCATTAATATTGGGCTATAAGTATCTTAATGTTACTGATTGAGCAGTTAGTTTATACTAAAACTATTTCCAACCTGATAGGATATTTCACTCATGAAAGCAAAGTTTATTAAGTTTAGTGGACAGTTTTAGTTCACTGATTTGAAAATTTGGCACCCAACATTTAAATCATAAGTTCATTAATAATAACTCCAATTTCAGATCAAACATTTGAACGGTTTCTGTCAAGAACTAATACCAAATAAAGAATCGTTCACCAAAAATCACGAATAATTAATCATTTGTTTTTCGATAATCACAAAATAGTCGGATCCATTATCATTAACTAATGATTTCTAAGCTAGCTGCTGAATGATAAAGTAACTTAATTACTTACGCCTGTTACTCCTCGTGAAGGAGCATAGGCCGCTCACCAGCATTCACCACCCAACCCTGTCCTGGGCAATCATTTGGCTTGTTGATCTCGAAGTTGGGCGTCTACTGCGTCTTTCATCCGGTTCAGCAACACTCTGTTAAAGACTTTCCCTGGTATTGACAGTAATGTGATGCCTCTGTAGTTTTCATATTTGCTCAGATCTCCTTTCTTTGGGATCTTGATGAGGTGTCCTTCTTTTCAGTCCATCGGCACTTGTTCCTCCTCCTAAATCTTCTTGAATAGGAGGTGAAGCATGTTTGTAGTTACTTCGATGTTTGACTTCAGTGCTTCAGCTGGTATATTGTCGGGTCCTGCTGCTTTCCCGCTCTTGATTTGTCTGATAGCCATTCTGATTTCCTCCGTCATAGGTGGATTGACATCCATAGAAAGGTCTGTGTGTGCTACTTCGATGTTCGGTGGATTCATTGGAGCCGGCTTATTCAGGAGTTCCTCGAAATACTCTAACCATCTGTTCCGCTGTTCTTGAATTTCAGCGATTGGCCTGTCTTCTTTGTCTTTGACCGGTCCCTGGCTTGCTATATTTCCCTGCTAGTTTCTTCGCTGTATCGTAGAGCTGTTTCATATTTTCTTCTCTCGCAGCTTTCTCCGCCGTCTTTGATAGTTCTTCCACGTATTTCTGCTTGTCGGCTCCAATGCTCTTCTTCACTTGCTTGTTTGCTTCTATGTACTCAGCTTGTGCTTGGACTTTCTCTACTCGTGTTCGGCTGTTGTTAATTGATAATGATGTTAATGATAAAGTGCTTTCTACTATATTTCCATATCCTAGACTAAACGTCGTGTAGAATCAATAGTAGGAGCTGTTGGGAATTCTCTGTTTGAAACCCAACCTAGGATTTCTTTTATTTTCAAATACACTATTAGTGCTAAGAAATTCTTTAAAAGAATATTCTTTTACTTATGAGTGATTATTCTCTTCACTGATATCTAGTTTTTTCTTTAGGTTGTTTTTCATAAACTTAAATTACACACCTTATATTAATAGTTCTTTCTAACTTTTGTTTTTCACCTCTGTATCTTGTTTAAATTGTTTTGTTCGATTTATTTCGGTTCGTAAGGTCAAATACTAAACATGACCTTGAACAAAGCCACCACTATTGAGTGAATAGTAATGGTAATCATTATATATAACGCTTGTCTTAAAAAATACTGCTAGTCGCTTTTTAAACAATTTTTTTCTTCAATTTCTTGTTGAGAAAATAATGAACTGAATGAATGAGTATTTCTATGTAAAACTCCAATTTTACTAAATGGCACTGTGTTTTGACTCCATATCCAACTGATAAAATAATGGGATAAATACCTACCAAGTGATTAATTTCCTGAGATTATTGAATCAGTATTTAGTTCGTTGACGTGATCCTCAAATCGTAAGAAAATTATTTTATTTTTTAAATCCATTATATGTCTGGTAAATTACTGAAACATCTGACTTACAATCTACCATATCATCTCTTAGAGATCAACAAGTCCTTTCTACAGGTCTTTTTTCTCATTTCAAATAATTATTATAGAATTTGTATAATTCATGACGTAAATAAATATACACATATATGCCAGAGCTCCACACTAAGAATTAGTAAACTTTGAACGGTTTTTATATTTCACTCTGCGACTCCTAAATGTATACACCGATGATCCTTAATCGGATCAGACCTAGGAGCTGTAGGTCATCAAGAATGGTACTGTAGTTACCTTTGATTTGGAATCTAATTGTCCAAATCCCCACCTTCAGTTGACTTATTATGACAAACCACGGTCATTATCCAGTAACTATATATATATATAGCAATACATCCGAGCCTCCATTGTGATAAGACGCACATTCTGGATTATGCTGTTAACCACTATCCACCTCTGCTTAAAATGGAATTAGTTTTCACTTTGAGCTTTTATCATATGTGGAAAGAAATTATTGTAAATCATATAGTAATAGATAGTCATTTGTTCATGCTTTGAAAGTTAATTCTACAAAATTCCACTTACCAGAAAAGTTTCAGAAATTCTATTAGTTGAATACAAAGTTTAACAATTCTCAGTATAGGTATTGTGGAGATTATTAGGTTTTTGATTGAGATCATGAACTGATTGATGTTAGACAACCGTTGGAAACCTGAAAGCACTGGACTGCCGTTTCGTTCTGTTGTGGGACTTCTCAGCAGTGCGTATCCACGATCCCGCTCACGGAATTTGAACCCAGGGCTTTCTGTCTCGCGCGCGAACGCTTAACCTACTGGACCACTGAGCCGGCATCCAATGGTGTTAGTGTCTAATATCAACCAATTCATGAAATTGTACGACCATCTTCCATTGTACTAAGGTAGATACCTGTCTCTACCCGACACGGATTAGTTTCACTGGTCGAAACGGCCGTCCAATGCTTCCAAGTTTCCAACGGTGGTCTAACATCAGTCGGTTCATGATCTCAATCAAAAAATTTAACAATTCTATTTGTTTATACCTTAGTTCTTCGGATAATCCTTTAAATATCGTATTATATTCCAAAAGAATTTTGTTTATTCACATTTTGTGTTTCTTTTCTATTTTTTTTTCTCTTCTAAATTATAGGGTATTACAGAAATTTATTTAACGGAATTTTAAACAACCCCAACAACAATAAAAATATTTTTCACTCTACACTTTATTGATTTTTTGTTTTAATCATGAAATCGGATTTACTTTTATGGGCACAATTATTTAATCAGTCATCGAATGATATATTACCAGAACAATTAACTGATGGATTATTATTGAATACAATATTTGGAATTATGTAAGTTCAAATAAGATTCTTATATATCTATTTTTTTATTTCTTTTATTGTTTATTAATTTTCTTTATTGACCCTGTGACGAACAGGTTGTTAGAATTAACTTAGTCAATAACTTACATTCTTAACATGTCTTTAATTTTAAAAGTTTGTAGTTTCTTTTGGGTTTTTTTTTAAAATTTTTATTTTATATATTTCTTTATGTATTCGCTACTGCCTTTTTTGTTCGTTGTTCAGTAAGTAACTTGTTGAAATACCCCGTGCTGAGAATTCTATATTGTACCAAAATATAATATTGAATAAAGCCATTAATAATAATAATAATAATAATAATAATAATAATAATAATAATAATAAGACGATTGATCGAAATTATACAAAAGAACAAGATCAGATTTGTTATGGGATTCTTTGAATTATCAACACAAGGATGACTTAAAATAATTAGTTTTATGTCAAGTTATTATGTAAATGTGTATACGCTTTGAGTTTCAAATTTAATGATACATGAATTTGTCTTTTATCTAGTGGATTGTAGTTTTGAACTCTACCATAAATAACACTATTTATTGATTATCACACGAATATGGATCATAGCGTATAGAATATTGACCTATACAATTACTGTGTATATCTTCTCTTTCAAAATTGTATCTTATGAATATAACACTTAGTATAATGAAGTTAGTCAAGATAAAAACTTGATTTTGTTAAGTGTGTGACTGTTGCTTATTCATTATTTAAACTGAAATAAACAATCACTAATTGTTATTTTTGAACTTTGTATTTTATTTTAGTGATTTTTATTGTATTTATTTTACGGAAGTCGTTTTTTTCTTCTTTCATCATGAAACACTATTCCTGAAACAGAATTTCATTTAATCATCCATGTATAAATATGTAGACTGAACTGTTATACGATTTCTGAAGAAAAAAAACAGTCATAAAAATCCTATTGAGATCGATCAATGTGAACGGACTATTTCTCATCATCAGAATTACGTAGCCTATATGATAAGTTTTTGAGGCTGCATCAATGAAGATCTTTTAAATGTGTATCACAAAAGTTCATCTACCGCTTACAGTCTTTTGTGAAATTTCTAGGACAATTAAATCAGCTCATTAATTTATTAAATTATTAGTTGGATATGTACAGAGAAATCCCAAGTTTTGATATAGAGTGCATGAAAAAGTTTTTGTTTGACCGAAAGGAAGTGACCGGAATTTGCTTTAAATGATTGATTTACATTTATTATTTGTCTGTCTATATCTTCAAAATACTACTATTTCATACATTTTTACACTTATTGACTGTTATTACCTGCTTTGAGTTCCTTATTACCTTGTATATTATTAATTTGCACCTCATTTAACTCATATCTATTTCATATAAAGTTATCGGAAACTATCCGTTAAAAAGATGTCCAATATAGCGTGACCTGATATACCGGATGAAAAAAATACATATATAGCCAAAGTTAGGGCTTGAAATAAAATATTTAGTGTAATTTATTCATTCTCTCTTTATGTGGTTTAGGCAAAAAAATGACCGAACATAATGGATATGATACGCTCATTGAATATTGAAAACAATGACAGAAAACCCGCAGTCTTCATTCACACCCCATATACTGTCTAATAAAATTTGGTAAAACATTTTGGACTATACTACTCAACTAAAAAAAAGGACTAAAACTGAACAGAACATTCTTTAAACCATAAATCACGTGGACCATACTATTGACAAGCAAAATTGTATATTTAGTACATTTCTATCTACCAAAAATTCAAGTTTGAAATGGTTTATTAAAAAGCTAAATAATTGATGTGTGGACAAGAATGATAATGATTGGTTGTCTGCTTAGTCAGACATGTAGATAGTCTGACTGGTGTCAGATGAGTTATGTATTCCCCCATCCTTATAATTATTATTGATTGATTGTTCATTGTTGTTGGATTGTGTCGGGTTTTTGGTGTGGAAATATATTAACGTTGTAGTCAGGCTAATCACGTGTTCTTGGTCTGAGTTATGTTGAAGTCCTGTAGAATAGACACTGGAAGGGAACCTAGTGTAGATATTCGTCTAAGGTAAATTAACGTCCCATGCGTGTAAACATGGAAACTCAACCGTCATAACATTAGACGAAGTAAAACCGAGCATTATAACAATAATAAAAGTGAACTTTTATTGTGAATTATAAACAAGTTCTGACAAGTTTCATTGTTTGATAAAATACAAATTCAGTATGTCTATATGGATACTAATATTGGATTGGAAATGATGTGTATATGAGATTTTTTCAAATTATAAACTTGAAAACACATAGATTCTCATTATAGTTTTGTATATGAGATAAACTGTAACCGTTAAAATTGTTTACTTGAAATATCTTTAGTTTTACCAAACTTCTTACTAACTACTATATAATAACATTTCTTTGATAAACTATTCCAATTTATTTGTATTTGTTTAATGTTAATCTTATATATACTGAATTCCTTCATAGATCTAAATGAGGACTATCAAGTAGTTTAGTGATCAAGTTCGATCTAAGTAAATAAGTTAAATGAAATTTTGAACATATTTCAACATCAACCGATCCATTATAAAACAATCAATTTTTCTCCCGTACTCGACATATCTAGTTTCCACGTTGTTTATAAAGGTCTTCAAGACAATACAAAAAATCTAAAATGATAATACATTATAGTGTTTTATATCCATTTTGATTACGAGCTGACATGGACTAGAAGAAATAAAAAGAACAGAAAGATCAACTGCTCCTTTCCAATGAACTTTTCTTAGTAAATCTGAAGTAATGGTAACCCACTGCTAACCATCATCCAATATTATTATGATTAATAAACAGATAAGGATTTATTCGACTAGCAAGTCATACTAGCTGATTTTCATAGATTAAAATTTGTCACCTCAATAATTCAATGTAGATTGTACTTACTTCCAAGAGGTAACGGTTTATTTAAGCATTATCTCTGGCGTCCCGTTTTCACACTCATCGATAGAGGAGTAAATAAAATTACAAATAGTAATTATGTACATGTTTTTATGAATTCTGTTTCATCTACTCATGAGTAGTACGTTTACTATCAAATGGTAAATATCATGAAGCACATGTACTTCATTTGTTACTGAGCCCCTGTGTATATAGCTTACTGATCACCACATTCTGATTGTACACAAAGTCCAATGGAAATTCTCGTGACTTAAATTTTTTAGACTCATTAAGTGAGATCAATATTGCAGTTTTGAAAAAACTGGCTACAATCCAAGAGCTGATTTGTGTACTTAACAAATCATCATGTAATCACAACAATCTGTTCAAATTTAGAAGGAAATTCAATTATCCTATCTGTGTACAATAACTTTTTTCACTTAAGTACTAATTCAAATCGATCCTGTCTTTTGAGTTTACAACGTAAATGTGCTACTTATCAATAACAACTAAAGCTTTATCGCCAAATGATATATCAATGAAAGACTAAAATCACTAAGATTATTTTCAGAATTTCAATACGATCTGTGAAAATAGTGATATAATTTACCTTGACTGAAATGGATGAGTATGTAATTTCCTACTGTATGATAGTCTTCATGGTTCTTTACTGAAACATAACGTATGTATATATCATTTGTAGGATTTCAGATCAGAATCGAACTGTTAAATTATATGTTTTCATTTTCAATATCCTTCTTCTCGTAATTTACTACATTTTTCATGATTTCGAATTCCATTGGTCTTCATTTCTCAATGAATTAATATGTGCTTAATGATTAAAGTGCTCATCTTTTAAGCAATAATTTGTAGATCCGATAAAAGTATGGAATAAGGACGAGCCAATCAGAATTGTGGAGATGACTTGGGTCATTTTGCATAAAATTTAAAATTTAAAAACGAACAACAAAAATATCTTTGTATGCTGTAAAGAACTCTTGAATTTATGATAAAAAATTTTTATTATACAATAAAAATGAAAGTGTTAGGTGTATCTAAGGCTCAATTATTTCTATGTAGATTTTATGTATGGGTACTTCTGGGAAATTCTTTGCTTGAATATGCAAGTCGAGAAGACGAGTGTTTTGTAGCAATATAGATTAACGTAAATTTAATTGTTTCTCCGTATTACGAACAGAAAAGCCTGTATGAGACTTAGATTTAGTAATTATGTGAAATGTCTAAAATATTATTGTTTTCCTCATAAATTCTTTATTTTTAATGAATATTATGAATGCGTAACAACGAAGTGAAATTTTCCACAGTTATTATGAGAATCGATGTAGCTTGTTCTGGCTGAGTTCATCTGAAAATGAGTTTGTAACACATCCGACACATTTTGGTCATTTACCTACAAAATCAACAAAAAAAAATTACATGTAGATAGCGTCAGTTCTCGTCTATCTACTATTTTTTTTACAGAAAATCTTAGCACTTATATATTATTACTGTTAACCGTTAAACAAAATTTTCCAAAGCCGCAATAAATATAAACTTATAACCAGTTAAAGTTATGCTAAGACACAAATAATGTCCCTTTTCTGTCAATGTTTTATGTTGAGAGTTAAGAAATGTATGGTTTTGGTTACAGGGTTACGTATTATGGATGGTATTGATAAAAAATATGGTAATATACATACTTTTGACAATCATAAGGTTATTTTCATGCTGTCCACCTTCAAACTTGAACGTTCTAGGTTCAATCAATGGAAACATAGCAAGCAAGGGCTACTGTGATGAGTCTCAGACTAGAAAAAAATTGTCTGCCGCTTCTCATTAAAGTCGAATAGTGTACAGGAGTAGGACCCATAATACGCGTTTTGTTCCGTTTGGGATTCATCAGCAAGATTTACCTGCATCTATTTTGATGTTCACAATAAAGTTCGAACTCAGTACTTTTCTCCTTAAACTCCAATATGTTACCCACTGAACTACTGAGTTCAAGTATCCACTAAGTTGTTCAATGAGTATAGATTTTACTTGTAGGAGTTTGCACTTCTTCATTGTTAATAGAGACTAATAAATAACTGGAAAATATAAACCCTAACTGACTTTGATATTGCATCGTTTGGTTGTTTGTCTTGTCATTGTTTATTTGAGTCTATTTAGTTCTCAATCAGTTACTTTTTTCACTATTAAATCTATTTCTTTAGTGATGAACGGATCGATCCAGATGATCGTCTATGTAAAACTGTAACATGCGTAAAAGATAGATTAATGAATTGGAAAATTATCATTCAAAATTTGAGAAACTATTATTTGGTAAGTTATTCATCATTATTGTTCACTTTTTTTTAAGAAGAAAATAAACGAATTCCAAATGTCTTTGAGAAATTTAAATGTGTACAAAACAAAAATTTAGACTCCCTTGTCTATAACCTCACTTACTAATTCCTGTGAACGTTGAATTTCATTTTATACGTGTAATTATCACAAGTTTATACTATAAACTAAACTGTAGTAATCGATTCTTTCATCTTGGATTAAATTTTCGAAATGGCATATTCATTCCTGGCTTTATGGTTTCGATTACAAGACTTTTAGTGATTATCATCAAGTCAACAAATTAAAATTCTCTTGCTGCATGATACTGGTTACGAAAAGATTAATGATAGTCTATGGTTATATAAAATTTATTAAAATAAAGGAGATAGAATTATTATTTAGCTCTAAGTTACGTTTCCTCACCAACGAAAAGATCATTGCAAACTAGAAAGTACTGAAGAGCTTCTTTGTTGTAGCTCTGGAAAATTGGCTTTTTGATTAAGGTTTTCAACTTTCAGCAACTAAGTCACCATCTACCTCTGTTTAAGCAATCTGGTAGTATCACCAGCTCTTACATTCAAAATATGGTTTGAAAATAAGTGCATAAATCTATAGCTGACTAATGAGTTAATAAAATATCTCCAAAACAAGTACATCAATTTGTACCTGGTTATTAAATTGCATTAAATTAAGCCTAATTATATTTCTCAGTAGAAGGTTGTGGAGGTTGTTAAGTTTTATTGAAATCACAAACCATTCTAAGTTAGACAATGAAAGAAAACCTGCAAGAACTGAACAAATATTTCTTTCTAGTATGGAACTTTTCAAAAGTGAGCATCGGTGACCCCACAACCAGGATATGAACCCAGGGCCTCGAGTCTCAAGCTGAAAGACTTATTCCCTAGACTTTGTGAACCGAGACCCGGTGGTTTATAAGTTTAACTTCAATCAGTCCACGATATTTCATGACGGTATATATATATACTTTTCACCTACTGGAGTAGTTAGTAGGATACATAAACTCCATCGCTTACAAGATAAAATTCGATAACTTCCTCATAAAGTTTATTGAATGAAATCATGTCTTAAATAAGTTAGGAATTCTCATTTTGATTTTTCACCATCTATGTAAAATTAATATTGATTCCGATTTTTGACATTATTTTTATGATGTGCAATAACATTAAAAATTTCTATGATGTAATTTCAACTTTTTGTGGAACTATTAATGTTTCTTGAAAGTGCTTTTCGTCACAAATTGATATTATCTAAGCGAAACATTGTCCTATCATCATAAATTGACTAAAGTCTTAGCATTCAAACAATCGAATTCCCGACTCTACTGATTTAACTACATCATATATTCATAGTCATATCTCATGTTCCTGAAGTATCGAATGTGTACTGTTAATAAATCTCAAACTTGACTGTACCAAATGTCCAGAGCTGCCTGGTTCTTATTAGTTATCTAAGTTGACGTGAGTTTCTGAAGACAAAAATTATTTTAGAAGAAATTATTGTCCATAAGTATTCAACTATCTATAAATACTTTCCCAGGCTAGATGAAATGATACGGACAGATTTTGATAGGGTTATATAATGTAGGATTATTATCATGCAATCGTTTACCTACCCAAACCCCCCACCATGAAACCTAATATTCAGTTCATTTCTCCTATGATTAACCTCCCCTCTCTCTCTAACTCTCTTGGCTTATCATTCTAATAAGTTATAATTTGAATCAGTAATCATAGCATCTATCCATTTCGGTCTACATTATCCTTAACTGATTTTTCCCTAAAACCTGTTTTTGAAAAACATTCTAACTTTAATTCTTATAATAAATTAAATTTTCAATGTAAACAACAATATTATTTGCTAACTATGAATCATGAAACTGTTTTTGTTTGTATGTGTATTCACTAACAATGAGTTTGTCTACTAATGCAACTGATTAAAAAATAGCATGTTGATTTTTCATGACTCATTTCCAGATACTAGTGTCTGTTTATATTGCTGTGTGTGTGTTCTTACATTTGGGCCACTGCCACCACCACATCAGCTAATCTAATGGTGGTGATAGTAATAATAATAATAATAATAATAATAATAATAATAATAATAATAATAATAATAATAATAAAGGGTATTAAACATGGCCAACTGATAAACGGATAAATCGACAACTAGATTCCTTATTTTATTGCTTTTTTGTCATATCCATATGTTTTTTACTTGAAATATGGACGATATTCACTTACATACCCACATTTACTTTTAAATCGAATCATTGTGTTTATCATCAAGCCGATTTCTTTCGTCTTTATTACAAATGAAATGAATCTAAGATGCTTAGTCATGAATAATAATGATTTATAATTATGCATTAAAAAATAAACGAGAATTAATTCGAATTGAATTTGATACGGATTGAACAAATTCATGATTGGTTCATATAAATTTTTATTTCACAGCAGTCATTCGAATGGATTACTCATTTTGAATATTTAACAGGTCTTTTTTTTCCGTAATTGGGCAACTGTTTGTAATTGGTACTTATAACAATAATAATAATAATAAAATTCTAAGGATATTCAATAAGGAATTTAACAGCATTTTCTAATTCAAATTCATTAAATAGCAAACATTCATAATTCCTTTAGTAAAAAAAATGGGTAGTGGCTAGCAATGGAATCCAGGACGCGCGTTTCGTCCTATTTGGGACTCGCTAGATAAATATAACTGCATTTCAGAGTTGATGTTCACTCTAGGACTTGAACCTAGTACCAATCAGCTTCAAATGCCATCGCGTTATCCACATAGCTACTGAGTCCTGATAGCCATTTGTTTGTGCAATGGGATAAAGTTTGAATCCACTTGGTATTGTTTATTTGAATCTTCCCGTTGATGTTTAGGACTGCAATTGATCAGTCTCTTATTGACATATGTGTATACTGTGCATATTGCCTCGATCCACTATCCATTTTTGCTTATAATGCTTATGAATTAAGGTAATATCGAGGCAATAAGCACATAATGCACATATGCCAATAAGGAACTGATCAATTGCAGTCCTAAACATCAATGGAAGGATTCAAATAAACAATACCAAGTGAATTGCTACCAAGGTTTGACTTGATAATTTCAAATAAACTGAGTATTCGGTAGAATGTTAATGAGAAAATAATGATATATTTATATCTGAATTAATAAGAATTCGAGTTTCTGACATTTAGTGATTGTTGTACCCAACCTTATAAATTACACATTCAATAGATTGTACTGCAGTTGGATAAAAATAATTAATGGCTATACTATCAAACTAGTTAGAATATTAATTTAACCATTTTGACCCTATTTCATTAGCCTTACATAAAGTATTTATCAGACATAAGACCCCAGTTGATTTAAATGAAACGAAACAATTGCTATATTATTTGCTTTAATAATGAATGGTATAACAAATGTTAATACTAAGGGTTGAATCAGTGTAAAATCGAATTATTAATAAGATGAAACTGTACTAGAAAACCACTTCAAGCGTCAGATAACGAGATTTGAAGTAAGATTTAAACTGTTATTGTAAACTATCATTTGTTTGATGAGTAATTTTAGAAAATTTGCTTTTAAAGTCTTGAATTAAAGTATATATGTCTAATATGCCGTCATGTTGTACAAACATTGTTCTAATGGGAAGCGGTGGCCAGTGGAGTTCAACCGTGTCTGTGAGGCAGTTACTGACTGAAGACAATGGTGGACGGTCGCGCAATATCGAGTATCAGTTGAAGTTAAACACTAACACCGTTGAATACCGGCTCAGTGGTCCAGAAGTTGAGCGTTTGTCCGCAGTACCAAAGGCCCTGGGTTCGAGCCTCACATGCGGGACTGTGGGTGAGCGCTACTGGGGAGTCCCATACTAAGATGAAACGGCCGTCGAGTATTTCCAGGTTTTTAATGGTGGTTTAATATTGATCCATTCATGATATCAATCTAAACTCAACAATCTCCACAACCGTATATTGACACATAAATTTGAAGCTAGTTTAAAAAGTATTTACAAGATAAAGATGGCAAATAATCTGGACTCATGTAAACGAGCTTCCTTATACTATTTGCTTCGATTTTAACATTGAAAAATATACTATGAACCTTGATGACTCAATTAAACATACGATGAATGGTAACAATACAATGCTGAATTATAATATTGTGTTATTGTTACTTAGTGGAATTTCATAAAACTATACTTATATCCATCTGGTTAAAATAATTACCCAGTACAAGTGAAAGTGACTCATACATGGGTGTGTCCAAATTTATGACAAATACTGTTTTTGGAAGATTTATAATTAACTGTTTTATTTTATTTTAAATAGACATTTTCATTTATCCAGTTCTTTTGTATTTTTTTCTCTTCTTATTATGAACCACTTCATTGTTAATCTATGTATACTTCAAAGTTATCAAATTTTATATAATATGAAGTAGTGATTATTTGATGGGAATATCGTTCATTTATTTACGTAACCATTAGTGTAAAAAACGTTTCTAAGGTGTTTCTGCCTATCTACTGTTTACTTATTTGAATAATTACCTGATCACCGGATATTGATTTGTAGATTTCAACACTTAGACAACTAAGTAAATTCTCTGATATAAGTACGTAGTGTAGCTAAGCTTCATTTTAATTTCTTTCACATATGGAATTACTGGAAACAACTATTTCACATTAATTTGGAATTGCTTTAAGATGACTATCTCCGGTTCCACATAGAATCAATCACAGGAACTTCCGTTCTCCAGGCAACAAATATTTGTTTTAATTATCGGTTGTCGAACATTCAAACTAAATTCCCATTGTAACCTCTCAAAAGTTATCTTCAACTTATTTGTATAGTGGTTACTTAGCGTTTGAAACCCTCGATTCTTTACAACAGCTGGATTTGGACAACTGGGTTGTACTACTAATTTTCACATAATATGTGTATTCGTAAGCC